CAGGCTGCTCTTTTAAAATATTCAAGTTATCAAACCAAAGGAAAAAATGTAAGGACTACGTCTATCTATCTCTTCCACAAGAGTATTCAGCTTCACTTTTCTTTTCTAGAGAAATGCTTTCCAGGAACATATTATATGAAATATGCTGGCCTTGAAATTCTACCTCCTGGTTAATTCAATTCAGCATCTTTTAAGGGCCATTAACACACTGGAATCTCAAATCTAGGGTCAATGAGTATTTCTATTATTACCGTCCAAACTTGCTTTGGCAACTCTTGGTTATGAAACTAATTTAATTAAATATAACATATGTTTTTATTATATAGCAAGCAATATATTATTCACAGTTAAGATCATAACTACTATTAGATCCTAAGAAGGTTCACTTATTTTTGTAATGACTATGTCCACCACCACCTCCAGTACATAGAACAGCATTTTTTTTCACAATGTGTGGTGAAAGATTAAATAAGTATAGATGTATATATTATTTATATTTAAATGAAAAAATGACTAATTCTATATTTTCATCTTATTAAATAAAGGCACAAAAATATAATTGCTTGTGATCAGAAAAAGAAATATTTGATACATGATAAAATGTGATTCTGGAAAAAGGAAAGAAACAGTCTATAGAGAAATCTGTATTTTTCTTCTTTAAGAGATTTAAGGTTCTTGCTGTACTCCTAACAATAACAATAATATTTATGTAATGTTTATTATGAACTATTGTTTTAACTTTACATATATTACAAAATTTCATCCTTCTAATAATCTAATGATATGAGTACTATTATCAAGCCCTTTCCATTATGTGGATGGTAACATCTCACAGCTATAAAATGTCTTATACACATGGATATTAAAGAAACGCACATTTTCAGAATTAACAAAACCTAATGCATTTCTTTGAAACATAGAACAATATAACTGAAATTAACATAATGGATGTTTAGAACATTGACATACATGTTGTGAAGTTTCTAAGAAGAAAAATTACTTAAATAACAGCTTGAAAACAATAACTAAAACAATCCATATTCACCAACAGAAATTATCACCAAAATTTACATTTTTGGAATTTGAATATATACATGGTAGTTTTGGATAATTTCAATGTATTGTAGGATGAACCAAAATGTAATGCTGAAATCTTGTACTATGATGAATTATTTCTTACTATATGAAATATGTAAATTACATTATAAAAACAAATGATTTATTAGTAGATACTCTATTCTCTATCATAGTACATTCAATCTTTGATTTTCATTTTTGCAAAAATTATATTGAGAAATGATGGGCTCTGATTAATGGAATAAAGTATCTTTCTACAGAGGTTAATTGTAATCTATGCTTCTTTTATTATAAAAATCATTAGTTGTTAGGTTTACTTACAGCTTTTATTTACACATGAATGACATGTCCTCTTATTTTCCTAACTGTGAAAGTTAATTTTATGTGTTAACATGACTAAGCTAAAGATAATTGCTAAAACATTATTTGCAGGGTGTGCATGTGACAATGTTTCTGCAAGAGCTTAGTATTTGAATCAACGAACGAATTAAAGAATATCTGCCCTCCCTCACTAATGTAACTTAGCCTCATCCAATGCACTGAAGTGGAACTAGAATGAGAAGACGTAGAAAAGACAAATTTGCTCCCTATTCTTAATCTGGAACATCTGTCTTCTCCTGCCTTGAGAGATCAGAGCTCTTGGTTCTTGGTCCTTCAGATGTGGAAACTGACATCACAGTAACCACTCCCCAGGCCTTTGGACTACGAATAAATTACACCACCACCTTTCCTCGTTCTTCAGTTTGTAGATCATGGGACTTCACATCCTCCATAAACTCGTGAGCCAATTCCCAAAATAAATCTCAATATCTCTCTCATTAGGTAGAAAAATAGATACAGATATACAAAGTAGATACAAATATATCTCCTATTAGTTCTCTTTCTCCAAAGAGCCATGACTAATACACACCAATTCACTATGTCCAACAGATAAGATCATATGTCTTGTACTATATTGCATTGCTCAAGCCCTAGTGATCATCTAAGACAGAGTACACAAAAATTATGTGCAAGCCATTCAAAACCAATATTCAGCATTAGAGAAACACAAAGTTTTCTAATCTCTAATTGTCATTAACATAAAATGTGATGTAGTATCTAACAGCACTTTTGTTCTCTTAACATTCAATTTTGTCTTGTTGTTTAACTAATGGTACTTGAAAAATATATTTGATTTTGTACACTACAGTGGCTGTATCTAAGTCCAATACTACTATGTAACAAAGATCTCATCCACCACATCCACATTAAACACAAGGTTTTAAAAGTTAACTTAACTGATGTTGAGATATGAATTGTCTACCTCAACTTAGTGAAATCCTAAGTCTTGTAAAATGTGGTTTAGCCTATGATTACAGGTCCTGTTTCTCATTGTATACCTCCACCCCAGCCAAATGATTATTTTCACTGCATCACTACATGCCAAATGATTTTCAACATTCCTAAAACTCGATGCATACATGAAATAATTCTATGCCTTTGTACAAGATACTCCCTTCACCTAGAAGTTGCCTTCTACCTTTTTTTCAAGCCTGTATGTGATTCTTTCACAATTCTTTTCAAAGAGCTGACATGCAACTTCTTATTCACAATTTTTCCTGACCAGAATTAATATCTCCTTTTATTATTTTTTTCACAAAACTTACTCAGAACAACCTGAAGACACATTCTTTGGCCTAGTGATTCTGTATAATTATCGCTGTGCTTCAATAGTCCTTGAGGGTAGAAAAATCTGCCTTAAGCACAGTAACAGGGTATTTGGCATAGAGAAGCATAAAACAGAAGTTTGTTAAATTGAATTCAGGACAATGCTTAAAAGAAAATAATGTATACTTTAAATGTTGACGCAAATGAATTGATAAGCAAGTGTTTTACAAAATTAACAATTCTCTTTTCATTTCTGTAACCCTAAAACGTTATTTGTTCAGACTATTCATCCTTTTTCCATAATTACTAACTAGGGATATTCAATTTCCTACTGAAATGACTATTTATTGGTATGTTCACAGGCACACTCTGAATGCCTAATTCTGTAACTATATCAGCATAGAATAGAGGAATGACTATTTTAAGTAAAAAAAATCTACGGAATCAATGAATAAATTTCCTATATTTAATGTAGCACTTGAAAAAAAATTAAAAATACCAGATACACTTTATATCACATATTGCCAATTATATTGTCTACCTATCTTTTCCACTCATGACATATTTGTAAAATCAACTGAATTAGTGTCTACGTAAAAATGTAATTGTTAAAATGGTCAATCAAATTAGCATGCCTCAGTGAACCTGAATACCTGAAAAATTTATATGATTTCAATTAGATATAATTACAATTTTAATGTATGCATATAAATGATAGTTTACATGTTATAAACTGATTAATGATTCTGGTGAATTTTAAATACTGTGACCTATATTGATACCTCGATTATTTTCATTCTTGGCATTTTTAGTAGCCTCTTTAAAACGTTCTTCATCCTTACCAATTAGTTGCTTATTTTAACCTATAAATAGCATTAAGTAAAGTTCCATTAGTACCAGTAATCTATCCTCTTTATTAAAAAAGGAAAAAAAATTGCATATTTTCTTTAAAACCTATTTGTATCATCTATCCATTCCACTATTCATAAGATTTTAAACATCTGCTATTTAGACACACACACACACACACACACACACACACAAAGGTATTTTAGAAATGTTTCATTTATTTCTTAAAAGTGATAAACATGACCTACTTGAGATACTCAACAATGCTAATGTTTACTCATTTAATGGAAATAAGACAATGAAGATAAAAGAATAATCCTAGTTTCAGATACATATCTCAGAGTTTGATGAGAGCTCTAGTAGAATAAATGAAAATTTCAGAAAAATAAACTTACAGTATTTAAAACTTACAAATCTAAAGAAGTAAATGGGCTGTTAAAGCAAGAGAGATAGATTTACCTCTTCACAGGACAGCTGAAAATACACGTTTATTTGTGAATAATTGATGTAAAATGCCAAATTCAAACAGCAATATGTGAAAGATTTTAAGAGAATAAAACATATTTGGATCAATTTCTCCTTTGAGATTTAAATTTGATGATATACTTGAAGAAGCAATGTAAAAATGTCAAGTAAGAACACGATTAAGGAGAAAACTACTATTTCTAAGGAATGAAAGGAAAGCTAACCCAAGTGTATCTGAAACCATGTGACTGCCTTTATCATTGAATATTTTGTTTAACTAGACAAAAACCAAAGCAAAATGCTTCAAAACCATCCTTTTATTTTAGTTAAATGTGAAAACAAGAAGTAGAAATATACCGTAATGCAAAAATGATGCAAAATATATAAAGATACATAAAAAGTCAAGTACAACCACAGCTGAAATCTGGTCCATTAATAATTATATTTTGCAGATTACACATCCTTATAAGCCATTAAATACAACTGCTTTCAGTTAACTAAACAATCACCTTGTGTCTTCCTATGAAGTTCAAAAATGCATACTTTAGTAGATTTGTATTTTGTAATAAAAATCAAATTTTTAACGTGCACAATCCACTTATACTATGGTAGTCCAAAGTTTATTTATGCACACTCACTAAGGGTATTAAATTTAACATATATATAAATGTATACACAGAAATTCATATTAAAGGAAAATACTTACCTGGGAGATTCTAATGTTACTATGTATAATAAACATAGTATTAAAGAATAATTACTAATTTAGGAGAAATGAAGGATCTTTATGTATCATTTCCATTGTTTACCAGTTCTAACTGTATTTTAATCTTTACTTTGTGATTTAAGTTATATGCCAAAATTCATAACAAGTAGACCCCAAAATTCACTATTCCATCAATTATTATGAGATCTTAAAAACCCAACAAAGACGGCGATTTTTCAAAGGCCTCTAAACTTACCCCATTGAGTGGGTATGTCTTCCATCCTAGCTCTCCCAGCACAGTGGTTGTATCAAGCAACACAACTGGAATTAAATAGAAAAAAAATTTTCATGGATTTCTCAACACAAAATGTATTATTAGTTGTTTAAATCATTAATGTCAACTATGCTTACTATATTCACTGAATTAAGTTTAATGAGTTGTCTAGCTTCAAAAATTTTTACATATTGATATAAAATATTAAGTAATGATAAAATGCATTGAGTGCTTAGAAATTAAAGCATGTATATTTTCATTTAACAATGCTAAATGAAATAACTGAATAGAATTAAGTCAATTTTAATAGCAGATGTTTAAAACTGATAAAATAACCACCTTTGCATTCCCCACCCCCATATTCACACTGTACAGTCATTTTAGACCACATTCAGGAAGAAAATCCTGTATTAAAGTAGACATCTTTATTCTCTTTTTATTTTATTAAATGTCCTTATACATAATCAGCAAACTATTAAAAAAACTCATTTTGAAAAATCTTACTATCTTTAAAGTATTGACTAGATTATTAAATATACTAGGTAGTTTACTTATGGCCAAGGGATGCAAAAGTGAACAAAAACCATCCATCTCTTTACCTGACCAAAAGCAATTCATAATCTGGTCAAAAAGGCAGACATGTAAACATCTAATAACATTTTCTGTTAAATTATAAAAGTGATGACCATATTAACACCCTAGCAATTAAGTCAGGCTAAATTTGGGTTGGCAGGTCTGGGAGAACTTCATAAAGGGGATCCAATTTGAACTGGTCTAGGATGAGGGAGTTTCAATCAGATCTAACATTTTTTTTCTTTTAGAATATTTTTTAATAAACTAACTGTAAGATGACAAGAATCAGTTCACTTTTGTAGGAGTGGAGACTCTTTGGGGGAAGTTAGATGATAGAAGCAATGCTGAAAGACAGATGGACATCAACTAAGGAGGGTTTTTGTAGTGTTTCCAGCAGATCTTTATTTTTAACTACTATCTCCCAAGCCTCCAGATGTCAGTAGGTCATGGACTTCACTCTGCGAAACAATGGTTTGGGACCTCATCATTAATTCTGGTTCCTCATCTTGTTAAGGAAGTGGGATTTCTTTTTCCTTTGGAGTCAGGTCTTGCTCTGTTGCCCAGGAGTTCGGTGGCACAATGCTAGCTCATTGAAACTTTGAACTCCTAGGCTTAAGGCGATCCTCCTGCCTCAGCCTTCTGAGTAGCTGGGACTACAGGCATGCACTGCTGGGCCCAGCAATTTTTTCATTTGTTGTAGAGACAAGGTCTTACTCTGTTATGAAGACAGGTCTTGAACTCCTAGCCTCCAGTGATCCTCCCACTTCAGCTTCCCAAAGTGCTGGGATTACAGGCATGAAACAAGGGACCTGGCTGAGGGTTTCTCACTTACAGTTTTAAAAAATGCAATTGTGAGTCTGTTATTTGGTATTTGCTATTCAGTGTCTACACTAAGGATTCCAAGGTTTTACTTAGGTGAACCGTTGTGATAAATTTTATTGGTACATTTTTAAATATGAAAGTATTCTTACGTTCCTAGGTTAAACTCTACTTACTAATTGCAGAACATTCCTTTAGTATCATTAAAATCTGTTCACTAAACATATAGTTGTAAAACTAAGCCATAATTTTTTGATTAATTTTTATTGTGAAAAATTTTTAAACACTTTTTGAAGTGGAGAGAAATAGTATAATAAACCCTCATATAACTCATCACTCAGGCTCAGTAATTACCAATTTATGGCCAGTCTTGTTTAATCTATATATTTTTACTCACGCCCCCACTGCAAGATTTATTTCAAGTAAATTTTAGGAATCATATCATTTCACCTAAAAAAAATTCAACATGTATATCTAAAATACTATTTTAATATATCTATAACATCTTAATTTATTAATAGGAAAAGTAATTGCTTAACATAATGAAATATCCAGTCAGTGTTCAAAATTCCTTAATGTCTCAATTTATTTGAACGAGAAACCAAGATTTAAATAAGTACTAATCAGTTAGCTGGCATTCCTGTTTAAGTGCATTTTAATCTATAAATTTCCCAATTGTTTATCAAAAAATTTCTTAAAATTTGTTTGGCTTACAACAAAATACACCTTCTTTCAGCGCAGATTTCTGTAAATCATGACAAGCTCATACACCCATGTAACCATGGCTACAATCAAACTACAGAATATGTCTATTACCTTCCCAAAATTTCCTGTGGCCCTTTATAAGGAATCCCTTTCCTACCCTATCCTCTGGCAACCACTGATCTGATTCCTTTCTTTGTAGCGCTGCCTTTTCCACAATGTCAAATAAATGAAATCACATAACATGTAGCCTTTTGAGCACGGTTTCTTTCACTTAGCCTGTACATTTGGGCCTGTATGTTTCAACTGTTCCTTTTTATTGCTGAAAACTATTCTATTGCATGGAATTCTCTAGTTGATGGACATGTGGGCTATTTCCAGTTAAGAGCATTATATATAAGGTCAGTCTAAACTTTCCTATACAGATTTTTATATGAATCTGTTTTTCTTTCTCCAGGGTAAATAACTGGGAGTAGGAATACTGAGTTATTTTTAAAAAGTTTGTTTTTTAAATAAACTATCTATCTGGATTCCAAAACTGCTGTGAAATTTTACACTGAGAAATAGAGAAAGGTATGGTTTTCCCATTCCTGTACATACCAGGGCTTGGTTTTGTCCAGTTTCTTAAAGTCATTCGATCAGGTGTGCAACAGTATCTCATTATTGTTTTAATATGTACTTCACTTAATGGAGGGAAACATCAGTATTTCTTTTTTTTTTTTTAATTTAACCACCATAGCATGTGTATAACTATACAACAATCCTGCAGGATGCAGAATGTGTTCATGTACCAGAGCCCAAAGTACAATACAAAAAAAAAAAAAACAGACTTTATTGTCTAGAACAGTTTTAGACTTACAGAAAAATTGGAAGATTGTACAGTTTCCATCTACCCCATTCCCAGTTTCCTGTATTATTAACACCTCACATTAATAGGATACATTTGCTACAATTAATGAATTAATATTGACAAATCATGATTAACTAAAATTCACAATTTATTCAGATTTCCTTACTGCTCCTTTTTTTTTCACCTGCTGCGATTTTTCTATTCTGAATTGTCATGTCTCCTTAGACTTCTCTTGGTGGAGAGTTTCTCAGAACTGTATGCATTCTTAATTTACACAGAAGGCACTGTTTTGTTTTTTCTTTCTTTTAATGCTTGCAAGTTTCATTCTAATTTTCTTATCAAAGATTTCTACAGAGAATTCCCTGGTACAACCTACAAATCACAACATTCAAATCAAAGGATTTATTGGAGCTAAGTATCTAAAAATCTTGAATGCGTACTAAAATCTATCAACAGCTATTTCCTATTTATAAGTTTTATATAAGAATTACACCCAATAAGTTAATTCATTCATATAATTATTGTGTCTAAAACATATTAAGTCTGCTTTGTTCTCAGTATTCATAATTGTAAACTGTGAAGTATATTTACTTCAAAATAAACAAAAAAGGAAAATATGTATGTAACTATTACAGTGCAAATGCTTAGGAAACATTTTGTGGTAGTTCTAGTAGCTTCCAGAAACAAGATATACCTAACTGCTTTATTTCTTTAAATTGCAATCATACCGCTAAAAAAATTCTTAAAAATAGTAAGATTCCAAACTTGCATTTCAGACAGGTGAATGATACTTTAATATTAAAATAAAATTTAGAATTTTGGAGATATGTAGTATGCATTTTAATTTTATCATTCGTTTCACATACAAAACCTCCACAAATTCAGATTTTTTTTAGGTACACTAATTACATTGAACCCAGCAAGGTGAGAGCTCCTCCTGCTGGCTTCAAACAAAAATTATCTAGTCCCTACCAGAGTGCAAAAACACTGTAAACTCAGTAGGAAGAAAAAAAACTATATCAGCATTAACATCAGTTTAAAAAGCCAGTATTTTTCTATTTTTAATATAATAGCAATGTTTAAATAGCAAGATTAACATCTATTATTTATGTAAGAAGTACAAATGAAACTATATTCATAGCATAATAAATGAGAAATTAGGTAAAACAAAAAATAAATAATAGGCTGGAGCCATCAAAATAAAGTTTTGAAAATACACGTTTTGTTTTGTAAGCAACATAATGTGTAGAACATCTGCAAAACTACATATAATTTTCCTATTAACTTATAGAAAAAGTTTCCAGCATATTATATCTTTTAGTTTACCAAAGTTGCCTTTATTCATGCTTTTGCAAATTATAAGAAAATTTCATGTTTTAAAAGAAAATATCAACTGATAAAGAAAAATTTAATAGTTCTGTAGTAAATATGTAAGCAATGATTACCTAATTATAAAAAGCTCAATATTAATTTCTTGCCTTTAAATATTTTATCAATCTTTATGTCATTCTTAGTAAATCTAAAAGGTATTAGTTTAAAAACAATTAGTATATTGATTTATAGTATATAATAGATCATCTATATTCAAATAGCACAGTAAGAAAAGGATGAGATTTTATTTATATATCACTTTGAAAAATTAAACAAGAAAGAGATAAATCAAGCCACTAAGAAAGTCGCTTTTAAGATAATTTTGTTGTAAAAATTTAAGTCAGTGTCATGTGAATTGAGTCCAAAGATTTATCAATATCTTTTAAAGTTGAAACAATCATAAATACATGTTTGAAAACTTTCTCTAACAAACTTCATGGAAAAAAAAAAGTAAGAGGTTTCTTCCTTTATCATCCAGCATAGCAAGTTACTAGGTCAGTAACAACACATCGGTAGAGATTTATGAGGTTTTATGCTCCACTAAATGTAAACCTCCCATAGCTCAAAAAAAAAAAAAAAAAAAAAAAAAAAAAAAAAAAAAAGGCAATACTTCTGATACTTCTGACATCATGACCAGATACAGAGAATACTTCAAATTATAGATATATAAACAAACACGCACCTTAATACATTACATTTTAGAAGTAGTACATTTGAATATAATACTGTTTA